AAGTAATCGAAAAATGATGATTTGTGAATATGTTGCTCAACATAATCTTTATAAGCATCAGTGAATTCAAACACATAAAGTAATCAACGATACAGACAAAACGTTTGCTACGACTACCATGACAAACTCGCTCTGTAACATATAGCGAATTCGTTTATTATCGGGGTTAACACCAGTTCCAACCCAGTGCGAAACCGAACTTTTTGTCAGTGTGAACCTCAACCTGAGCTAGGTTTTAAAAACAAACGAGCAAACTGACGTTTGTCAGAAAACAAGCAGACCCAATCTTGATACCCGATCCTGGTTGGAACTGAATAATAAACGAATTCGCTAATAGCTCGATCGGAGTGGTAGAAGGATAATGATATATTGGTTGCCTGCTTTGTTGCAATATACACCGATGAAGACATAGCTTGATCTGAATCGAGAAAAGCCATAACAAAAAAAAAATCCCATTTAAACACGTGTATCATCTTCGGCTTTACTTCGTGAAGCAGCTTGCCAACAATTTGCTCGTTTCCTTCTACCGCCCCGAGTGAGTTGTGTCGCACGGGCTGCTTGTCATGAAAAAAAGGAAGAAGATTATATCATTAGTGCTTTCCACTTCTGATAAAGCGTTATCATTCGGTTCGTTGATCGCTTGTCATTTTGTCATTTGGAGATATTTTTGATATTTTAATAAGCATAGAAGCACAGACAAACAGACATAACACATTGAATAATTCTCACTGTAAAACATCGTCGCTAAAACATTACCGCCATCCGTTGAGTACACTGTGGTGGGTAGTACGCTGAACAGATGGCGGTAGTGTGTAAACGTCAAACGCAAGGGAATTGACTATGTGCGCCACATGTGGCGGTACTACCAACTATGATACTTTCAAATTGTCCGTTAAATGCTTGTTCTATAAACAACTTGCGAGTGTTATGTCTGTTTGTCTGTGATAGAAGTATACTTTTAAAAACGCAACGTATCGAAATCATTGCTAAACAAACGTAATAAAATATGCCGTCTTTCTTGGCCACCGCTCCACGCATTCTATTCAAAAATTACGTTGGAATAATGATTACTTTTCTATTTTATAAAGAAGGTATTTGTCAACGCCAGCAAAATCGCAAACTGAAGCTGCCAAAGCTGAGTGATGACGATGAGTGATGACACCGCTTCGTGTTTTGATTTGCACTGTACCCTCCGCTCAGTGGTGAGGATTCGTACATGCATAGATGTTGGTGTGTGTGTTTTCTCCCAACGCTGCAGTTCAACGTTGTATCGTCACAAACCTATTGGCGCTGTTATCTGTCTCTATAAATTCCAAAGAGTGAAGGGGGTCTGAGTTAAGTCATGACTTTCTAAGTAACAGGTAATGTGACACAACGGTCATTGGTAACTTCATAGTCAGATTGTCACGATGTTGAGATAAAATGTAACTTATCTGGTCTCAATGATGACACAGTGTAATCTTTTTGTGTCGATCTAGTGTTATCAATTGATTGAACTGTTCCCTCGTTCAAATCCGCCAAAAATTTAAAAACAGGAACTGCACCCGGAGCTGCTAACAGTTTTCCGCTATCCGATGCCACGTATACATCGAAACCGTAATTGAAATGTAGCTGAAATATAATAAATCATCTTAAAATCGACTTTCATCTAAACGGCAATTCATTTATCAATATGGTATATTAATTACGCAACATAATCGAGAGTTTTCCGTCACGCTTTGGCCGGAAGAAAACCGATAGAATTGAAACCATTTTTCTCTGACGACGCTGTCATTGGGAAAGCAGAAGAAACTGACTTTTGTCACATTTTATTCGGGGTATTTTACAGAAGGATACCGTGGCTCCCTTACACGCTAACTCCATTAATGTGTAAAATTTACTCATTTCGAAGAAAAGTGGCTTAACTCATGAAATGAGTAAAACCGACTTTACTCATTAATTAGTATTCGACTAGTACGTCATGCAATGGGTATTTTTTACACTGAATGTTTTTTTTTTTTCAAATGAATAAAAAGTACCCATTTTTTGCCATTAGGGTTTTTTTAAATGAATAAATAGTACCCCTTTTAATCGCTCCATTATTAACAATAATAAATACGACAGAGGTCAACTTAAGATCAACGAAACTTTTTCTTCATTAAGGCCTGTATAGAGATCGAAGCGAAGCGAAAATCTCATACAAAATACTACATTTTTCACCTGCGTGACAAACGCAATTGGCAAATATTTCGCTTCGCTTTGAACTGTAAACAGATACGATAAAGCGAAATCTAATTTTGTGGATCGTATCTTTTTCGCTTACCTTTAATTTTTTTTCGCGAAAAGAGCAGCAGCTAAGCGAAAAGTTGACGTTTCGAGAAAGAGCGTATCTGTCAGATTTTCACTTCACCGGAGGTGTAAACTGATCGATTTCGTTTCACATGAACTGTAAACTGCGAAAAAAGGAAACTGGAAAATGTTCCACAAACATTTTTTCACAACCTTTTTCGCTAGCGAAATTTCATGATTTTTCACGTGCTTCAAATTTCGTTTCGCTTCGATCTGCATACTAGGCTTTAGAATAAAGAAACATTAGAACATTAAACACTCCAAAGCATTAAATACAAGTCAACCGCTTGTGCTGAGATGGTTCCACAGTCCAAATATCATCGCCTGCTGCGGAAATAGAAGGGATTTTTTGGAAAACTCGTGCGTCCTACTTTTCCCTGCACTTGCTCTACTTCGGCTTTGGCTTACTGGTGCACATCGGCTCGAAATCCGGCAAAATTATCTTGTAGAGCTTTGCAGGGGTGACACATTAGGAATAGGATTGCCTGTAACGATCACAGAGCATTCGGAAACAGGACAAGCGAATTCTGTAAAATATCGTATACCAACATCAGATAAATAAATTTTAACGAAAAATATTCGTTCCTTCCAGTTTTTTGGATTGAATGTTACCCTTCCGCACTGTGCTTTTATCTCGCTTCTGCGTTTCGAAAATGGCGTCAGTTTTGCAATGAATCACTAATGATAATTTCTAACCCATTTTAACTACAAGAAGCAAATTTAAAAAATCATCCAAAATTTAGCCTGGTACGTCGAGCCCAAGGCTGAAAGCCTCTTTAATAAAGTTAAATAATAATAATAATAAGCCTGGTACGCAGCTGAAAAGTAATGACGTTTTTACGTGCTACGGGATAGGACACGGAATGCTAAAGAAATTTCTTTTCCTTAGCATTTCTTGACCCAGTACGCAGTTCAAAAGAAATCGGTAAAGGAAAGATCGATTACATTAGTATCGTGATCGATATGAAGGTGGCGCATTCTGAATGCAATTTCATTTTCCTTGCGGAATAATGGTCTGACCAATTATTCCGTTAGGTAATTTTAACTTTTGTTGTAAAAATGATGTTTTGGATGCATTTTAACAACATAAAAATTGATAATTGTTGATTTTAAAATTAGACGACACCTACCTATGAACTCAAAATTTAGCAAAAGACACCTCCCTATAGCTGTCAAATTTACTTTTGGGAATATTCCTCAAAATTACTTTTCCGTTTTCTTTTCAGCTGCGTACCAGGCTTTACCCGCTTATAATTTTTTTTTAAATACCTTTTTTTTACAGTTCGGAATGAATTCAATAAATTGAGTACACAATACTCATTTAATCGGTACTCCCAAGTTAGCGTGTAGCTCAGTAGGTAAAGCCGCAGCTACAAAGCGAGACCATGCTGGAGGTGGCTGGGATATATTCCCGGTCCGGTTTAGGAATTTTTCGTTTTGGGAAATTTCTCGACTTTCCTGGACATAGAGCATGATTGCACTTGTCACACAATTATACTAATGCAAAAATGGTACAGGCATCACAATTAATAAGTGTGGAAGTGCATCTAGAACACTTAGTTGAGAGCACGCAATAAACTAATATGCGATAAGCAATAAGCTTGAAATGCGAAGAAGAAGAAGAAGAAGATCTGTGCATTTCAATGGATTTTTTTTTTTCAAATAATGACTACCGATACAGTCAAAAAAATATTTGTTACGATAACGTCACGAAACAGACGGCCGTCGCTCAACTTAGAAGTCACTCGAAGTAAACACAAAATTGCGTTTTGCCAAATTTTGCAGGCAAAATAACTTAGTTGGCCGTGCAACCAGATTTACTTTTATTCTCTCCGAGCGTCTCTTATAAAACATCGTCTCTGGGTCCTTAGTTTAGGTCAAACATCATTCCCAAGCAGTAAACATTTCTTAGCCTATTCAAACGAAGAAAGTTGGAACTTGGAACAGACGGTGAAAAATAGATGCGAATGCAAAAAGGAAGTAAAACGAACAAAAACATACACCCCGATTATGGGTTTGCCTTTTTTTTTCTCATTCTGCCTACTATCCCCTTCTGCTCCGATGTTGCTGCCAGGGCTGGGCCGGCTCATGCATGCACGTCATACGACCGGCCGTACGACCAGCCGGTCCAGTCACACTGATCGCCAATTTGCAGATTATACCTACTGATGCTAGTAACGTTTCATATTCTTAATAACTCCGGCAAGTCCACACGCGACGAACCCGCTCAAAGCCAGCCCATCTGGGAGAAATGCGAAGAGACAAGTCTGCGGTGATGACTGACTCGATGATGATTGCGGTGGCGCTCGTGGCGGGTAATGATGATGGCTGGCAGATCATAAGCGAACACGGCTTGAAGGGGCTTCGCTTCGAGACTGAGATTGGTCCATACATTCTCATTAAAGTGTAAAAGGCACATATTATAAAAACAGGAACTAAGTCTATAGACGAGAGCCGAGTCAAAGGAGAGGTATCGTTCGGTGGAAATTGGATGCTGTGGGTCAGTTACTCCGCGGCCAAAGTCAAGTTCAAACGCATCATGTAGCAGGGGAAGAACTGAGTAGTGAATTTCGAGCAGATTTTCCAATTGTGATACAGAATTGAAGCTGTGATTAAGCATCCAGTTGGTGAATGTTGTGATAAAACTATTAGTGATTTGTGTATCGGTACTAATCTTCTCATCGAAAATGATCCATTTCCGGTAATGATCACATCCTGTCTTAAGTGACCTACTTATTCAAAAAGAGATTTCGAAGCAAAATACAGCTTTAGGGTCGATTTGTGGCACGCAAAATTTGCTGAGAAAAAAAGAAATCAGTGCTCGTTGGTTTGAAATGCTAAAAAAGAGACATACGAGTAGAAATCATACGGTGATCAGTTGAACAAAGCAGAATGTGCGGCGCAAGTATGACTGATGGCAGTTATCCTGTTGTTTGCGATGACCGACTTACCGTGACGACGGCGACGACGATGATAAAGACGATGGGATGTGGTACCGTTTACTGCCCTCGTCAAATGAAAAATGAAGCTATCCTGGATAAATATCTTTATATTTTATGTGAAAGTGCATTGCAATCATATTTCAAAATCCGCGAAGGTATCAGTTTTTACTGCTACAATGGCCGTTACAATAGAACGATAATGATTAACGCTTGTACCAGCTGTTATGGATGTATTACACGTCATTTTAATCCCAGTCATGCGCGCACCACATGACTGCGTTGGGAGTAGTATAAACATTACGGTGTCATCTTAAATTTGCCAAACCGACCATACACACTGTAGTGCAAAATTGATCGGAGAAAAATAGTATTTTACAAAGAGTGTAAATAAACAGGAAACTTTAACATATTTCCAATGATTTTCTGTTCATGTTAGTTCGTGCGCATCAGAGCTTACCATGTACGCTTAAAAACTATAAATGATTACCCTATAAAAATAAGAAAAAAGAACATGAACATGCTCAAATTCAAGGTGCTGAGTTGTTCGGACAAGAGTTATAAATTCAATATAGCAGATGAATACTTCAAAATTGTAATGAAATCAAAACATGTTATAATCACATGTTTTACTAGTATGTTAAAAAAGGTAACAAAGTAAGCGTTTGACACATAAAACCTGTCAATTTTACATTCTAAGAGACACAATCAGTGATTTAATTATTGCGAAGTGTGTGAGTGAGTGAGTGAAAATTTATACAAACGGTGATTGCGACTCTCAGGAAGCAAATTGACAGGTTACATGTGTCAAACGCATACTTCCCAACCTTTTCTTGTACCTATATTATAAGTAAAAAATACTATCATAACATCTAATGATTTCATAATTCCCCAAAAAAATTATATCCGAAATAAGTATTTGCAACCTGGAGTGAAAGGTAAAAGAGATAATGTTGAAGGAAGACTAAAACGGCATTTTGGAAGGCAATATCATCAAATATACCATAAAAATTATATTATTAGTAACTTTGTGCTCATGCACGATAATTTATTTATTTATTTATTTATTTCGTTAAGCATAGTAGACTACATACAATGTTTACAATGTTTTACTTACATGCTATGCATTACAGTACTTTCCCGATTTTGTCAGCCCTATCTGAAATTTCAGGCTGACAAAAACGGGAAATTTTCTTTTTCAATATTTTAACCATCAAAATGATTTTAAAATCTATTTTAACCATTATTTATCCTCTATTAATGGAATTACTGATAAATGTTTACTATACTTTTTTTCCCCTCTGTTCGGGACCTTACACCACTGCGACCAGTAATTTGATCTATTGTAGTATATCTCGTGCCCTTAATTTAGTGCATGTCGTATTACTCCATCACTGTTGAGAAATGATAAAGTATTCGATTTTTTTACAGTTTGTCATTCTTGTATTTATCGCAAGGATACGACTCTAATTGAAAGGTTCCGCTATTTATACCATTCGGAGTGTTGGAACACCCTTCAAAAGCGCGCCCCTTTGTCAGTCAAAATTGGATTCCTTAGCAACAAAATTAAGAAATGACACCGATAATGACCATGCATCAGAACCCTAGTCTTATCCACTTCAAACTAGGGAATAACGAATAGAAGATTAGTAATCACAGAGATAAAGGGGCTTATTACGGATGTCACTTCACGGTGAAAACTTGTCACTTGTCGTCACGGTGAAGTGATCCCCATTTGATTTGTACGGCAATCAAGGCTCCTATTCCGAATATCACTTCCTTATCACCGTAATAAGGCCCAAAGACTAACTAACTCATTGTTTTCTTGTTTCAAGATCATCCTTGGTCCATGTAACCCGAGGACTTATTACTATCAACAAGGCATAAAAGTAACAAGGACTAAAATGTGTTCCTTTGATTACTGAAAAATCCTGTTCCCCTAGTTTGAAGTAGTCAAGACTATGAATCGGTGGTAGATCTTACACGTTTCGAAAAGTTTGCGTACGGTTTGTTGAGCCGGTACGTAATGAACGGTTTCCTTAAATTCAGCTTGGTTTTCAGCGCTGCAACCAAGGCTGAACCTCCATATCTCAGTATCAACGTAGATACACTAGCCAGGAGCCGTCTCTTGCTAATGCTTGGTCCCAAGATGTACGGTATGATTCTGGTTACCGCGTTGATGGCCTTCGTCGCCTTCTAGTAGACGTATTCTATTGAAGCCAAACGGTCGTCAACCGTCACTCCCAGACATTTCAACACGCAGATTTAGTTTATGGCGAGCTCCCCAGCGGTGATTTCTGACCGGTTCAGCGCTTTAAAGCTACTGATCAAATACCACTTCGCTTTTGTTGTGAGCTATCTGCAGCTTCGCTCCATGCATCCAGTTTCCAATCATGTCAACCGCCTCGGTCGCCAACATTTTTATCTATTCCAGCGTGCTCACTCTCCGTGTATTTCGTCAGCCTGTTTAGGATGATCCTCTTCAAGAGTTTTCTGAGTGTATACAGCAGGTACTGCTACGAGTTGCTTGTTGGTGACTTCGTCGTTATCTCCCTCTCCGTCTCCGTACGATGTAGGTGGCCAGGTCGTTGGATCGTGCTTCGAGAAAAGTCCTTCCACGATGAGTTTCAAGTTCTCTTAGCACATTTCAGCGGGCATGACTTCACCATCACGACACGGTGTGCGTTGTTGGCAGCAGCGTCTCGACCCATCTCCTTGAAACAGTTTGACTTGCTCTGCTTTATCTCTCGTTCATGTGTGGCCCTGGCCGCTCGGTACATTCTTCTACGTTCCATTCTGTCTGCTTCTGTTCTTGCTCTCTGAATACGTCTTCTGGCTCTGAGACAACTAGCGTGGAGGGTGCTAATTGCCTCGTTGCACCAGTAAGCTGGAGGCCGTCTGTTATTTAGTTCCAATTTTCTCGGCATGGTCGTGTCACATGCTCTCCCTAACGATTCTGTCAACTCGTCTTCCACTTCAGGTCGCAAGTTCTCGTCCTCTGCACTGCCACTGGATTCCGTTGGTCGATGCCATATCAGATTGCCTGATGTTCAATATGGGTATATCCTTCGCACACTCTCCAATTCAATTTTTCCACCAGCGACGGACTGCAGTCCACATAAAGTGACGTCCATCTCTGCGAAAAGTGCTGGTGGTGCCTTTATTGAACAGTCTAGTTTGCAGCTTTGCCAGAGCTTCCAGCAGAATGTGCCCTCTTGCGTTGGTACATCTGTTTCCCCACTCCGCTGCCTAAGCATTGAAGTCTCCTCCGATGACTACCGGTCTTCGTCCGGTCAGCTCTCCGGTAAGTCCAACCAGCGTCTCGTGAAACTGCTCCATCGTCCATCGGGTACGTAGCAACTGCATATAAATATTCCGTTAATTTTGGCGATCACGAAACCTTTTTCTTGAATGGGGTATCTACCCATAACTTGTATTGCAGCCTTCCCAGCTCTATCCGCCACCTGGTTACCGTTGTCGGGAGGGACTAGATACAACTGTGCAGTGTCGCAATAATTAAGGTTTATTTGAGTTACCTCTGTTACTTTAGCGACAAAACAATTAAGTGTCATTTAAAGCGAAATGATTAAAAACCAAAAAGTTCAGCAAAATCTTCAGGCTGACAAAATCGGGAAAAAAAGCTGACAAAATCGGGGGTAGACAAAATCGGGAGCTAACAAAATCTGGAAAGCACTGTATTTCTAGTTCCTCTTAGTAGAGTTTTTATTTGGTTTTTGGACATGGTGATGTCAATTTCTTCGCAATTTATGTGTTGAGAAAATATCAAACAATCAAATCTCACCAATGCCCAAGATCACGCTTGATTTTCGTAGACAAATATCAACAAGCATACAGCTGCGGTTGATTTTGCAAGCTGTGATATCGCAGCTCGGAATATCAAGCTAACAAAACCCATCAGCTGCAAATCTCAACAAACTGTGGTGAGATTGAGTTTAATGATTTTTACTTTACACCCGAACGCAACCGACAACCGAATAACGGCTGGCAGCAGTCACTTCGTGTCTGCCATCGGTGAACAGTGAAAAAAGATAGCAAACTATACATTCTCTTTGTAAAAAAACGATGTGCAATGGAATCAGTTTTTGTGTCTGTCAACTCTCCGCTTGATTTTTGCACGTTGTGAATAGTTTCGCAATATCAAAGGAGCTTTTAAAATCATTATCAAGCATGACATTTTGTTCCAATATCACGCGTGATATTGAGAGCATATCAGGCATAACATTTGATAACGGCACAAAAGCATTTGTAAACAAATATTCTAAGGCCCTTTACACACGAACCAAAGTACGCCCACGCAAACCAACAACATCATCGGATAGGGACAACTATCACCTTTCTGAAAGTGGTATTGGTTTGCGTGGGTGTACTTTGGTTCGCGTGTAAAGGGCCTTAGAAAGTTTGTTTACAAATGCTTTTGTGCCGTTATTAAATGTTATGCCTGATATAAAAGCGAAAAATATAATTTGATTGATGATTTTGCCAATACTGTACAGGTGCATCATTCGATTGATGGGACCATTTTTTGCGTAATTTGTTCTGCATGTGTTTTCATAGAATAATTTTCGAGTTCTAAGAGGTCTAAAGGGTGCATAAAAATTTAGTTGACAGAGTATTGCTGCAGATTTTATGCGATGAGAGATAATGTCATTGATAAAGAAAAGCATTGCAAATGCACGCCGTTCCTTTAGTGTTTGTAGATTGATGAGCATGCAGCGTGCTTCATAGGATGGTAGAGGAAATG